CCAAAGGAGAGGCACATCAATCAAACTGGAATAACACTAAGGGGAGGCAAACCCTCTTATTGTACCTGCTGCTCATCCATGGCTTCAGGTGTTCTCATCACCTGAAAGAGAAAAACCTGCCTGTGACATTGCATGGAAAGGTTCCTGAACAATGCCAGTTCCTTCTGTGGCAGGAAAAGATCAAGCTTGAGGAATGAACTGAAATACCGTGTGCTGCTCTAAGTATCATGAAATTACCAGTGTCTGCTGTCTCTCTGAACACAAATATGTACATCATTTTTTGCAGCATTTTGAGTTATTATAACTAATTCACAAGCTCCCTCTGCTGGGCTCCCAGCATAGGAGAGCAGTGGCAAAGCTCCTGTGATGTTATTTGCAGACTGACCCATTTTCTTCAGCTTACTTTGACACTTTGTACAGCATCAGAAATAGTGTACAATCAAATTCATGTAAGTGGCTTGTTAGAAGTGTTACAGAGAGAGATTTGATGTGTTAGATGCATAATTAAATGTTTTTATGTGCATGGAAGGTTTTTTCCACAATAATGTAACTGTAGCTGTTACCTCCTGAAAGTTCTCATGCATCTATCAAAAGATCATGATACTTGATTTCAGTAATGCCTTCTGTCACAGGAAAGAGCTCTTAAGGAAATAAATACAGACCTGTTTAAGGAATTAAAAGCTTACAGTCATCAAAAACACTCCATACAGTATGCAATTTGATGTAGCAGTGGTTTTCAAAATGAGCCAAGGGGTTTGTACAAGCATTCAGAGGAATGAAAAAGTGCTGAAAATGTAACTCTAATCAGAACAGCTCATCCTGCTGCTTTCTGCCTAATCCTCAAGGTCAAGATTTCTGTCTGCAGTTTTTAAAACACATACATGGGACTTAGCACTGTCATTACCAATAATTGCAAAATCTCTTTTAGGAGATTAAAAGGAGTTGTGAAATTATTGACTTCCAACTAAACAATTTCAGGGTGAGAGATTGCTAACAAAAAGCAGAATGATGCTCTGTGATTGCTGTAGACATAGCACTTCCTGGCTGCCTTTTAACAGGGATTTACTGAAAAAAAAGACCTGCCTTAAGTAATTCACAAAATTGTGGAGTGCCTTTATGGGAAAAGGCATATTGTCTGCAGTGGCACCAGAGAAAAATGGAGAGACTTTATGAACAATCACAGTGGCTTTTTTTACTGCAAATCAGGCTCCTAGACACAGACAGTGGTACAAACAGAAAGTATTAATGTGCTGCCTATGTGTTGTGCTTGAAGTAACAGGTATATGGGAATGTAGCTGTCACCAGTGTGAGTGCAGCAATTATTTGGCAGCACTCAGCATCACTGGACAATGATGTAAAACAGAAAATAAAGAACTCCAGCGACCAATTGATAGAGAAATTGCAGGGAGAATGTGGAATGCATGTATTCCAAACTTCAGTCTAGTGAGGAGGCTAAAATAAACATTTCTAACATCAACTGAGACAAAATCACCTCTTTTGACTAAAGTGGGCAGGGCACCTCTACTTAAGCAGGAAAAGGAACGTGTGTGATGTGTGTGTTTGATAAAGAGCTGAAAGATTAAGAGGGGCTTTTTACATGGGCCTGTAGTAGTGACAGGACAACAGGGAATGGCTTTAGACTGAAAGAAGGCAACTTATATCTAAATACTGGGAAGGAATTCCTTGCTGTGAGGGTGGTGAGACACTGGAACAGGTTCTTGTGGAGAAGTTGTTCAAAGGTGGATGGGGCTTTGAGCAATCGGGTCTAGTAGAAGATGCCCCTACCCATAGGGGGGGACTTGGAACTCAATGGTCTTTAAGGTGCTTTCCAACCCAATCCATTCTGTAATTCTGTGGTAGAACAGGTTGTGATGTCTTCAAGAATACAAAAAGAAATTAGGTGAAATTTTAAAGCACTAGCAATATATCTCTTAGTGTCATTAGACTTCCATTCAAGTACTGACATGATAAAGAATTATTTTACCCATGCTAATATTAAGTGACATTCAAGAATTTTCTCAAAATAGGCATCTTATCTCAAGTATGAATTTTTTTTCTAGGTAGCATATTCTCATATTGGCTTTATTCTGCATCAAAGCATCTGATGGCTCTAGAGGACATGATATCAATATATGATTTATCCCTTCAAAGTCTGAGGATGATCAGTCTGTTTCTTTTCTGTCCCTAATTAAACATTACTTCAGTAATCCCCAGGGGCAAGGAAATGACTAGACTGAAATGAAAATGAAGTTTGTAGGACCACAATTGCACTGTCTATGGTTATGATTAATGTGTTTTATGATTGTTGTTTTGCTCATAAGATTTAGCTGTTTTTTTTAAAGACCCTGTGAGGGAGCGTACAGAGACAAGCCACAGCTTTTATTTTTTTCTTGTAAGGTGACAGAAATCTAAGGAGATTTTAACACAAAATTGATTGAAGTAAAATATTGGAGATCTTAAATGTGATTGCTGATTATTCAGCCTTTGGCAGGCTACTAATAGTGATGGTAAGTGAGAGTTCCAGTCAGCCATTTCCCAGCATAAGGAAATGCAAATCCTTCATACTTAAGTGTTTTGGGAAACAAGCAGCAACCCTACAATGACTGTGAATTGAGTGACTTGATAAGAGGTATTTGTAGTCAACATAAAGATTTATTTATTTAGCTGTTAGTTAGGGACACATCTACCTGGTATAAGCCCACAGATCAGTCCAAGAGGCCAGAAATAAGGCTGTTTCCAAGATAGACAGGTCATTTTCTTTCCCTTTTTCTTTGGTCATGTGGAAGTGGATCAGGTGGGTTGATTTCTACCATTCATTCATGCTTTTAAATACTGTTTTTCATCTGTCTTTGCATATGGGCTGCTTTTTGCATTCTGAAAAAGAGGTGACATTCATTAGCATAATTCATTATGCCAGCCAAAAGTGTATACTTATTCTTAGTCTATACTATATGAATGTATAGACTTAGGTATTCATAGTGCTAAAGTGTTTTGTCTTTTTACATACTTTATATTGAAAAACAGTGAACAGTGCATTCTTACCTAGCTGATACTTCTTCATGCAGCACCGTGGAAGGCTGAATTTAGATAGAAGTTTATATCCATTTAAAATACACAATCAGCATTCTAAAACAGTCATTAGTTCAATTTAAAAATTAACTGTGCTGAACATAAAAATAAGCTGAGCAAAACATAGTTTGTATTGAAAGCTAGTTGATAATATTAAGTGAAGGAATCATTACATAGAGAAGATGAACTGATTAAGATTTTTCTAACCCACATGCCTTTCAGAATTACAATTAGAAGAACCTATCCTTCACATTTATTTTTAAGGGATGATCTTATTAATGCTTTTACAAGGTATGGAATTCAGAGGAGTAGGTCCCAAATTTCAAGACAGTAAAATGAGAGCTTTGGAGAGAATTCAGTGTTTCTCACCATGTCTTTGCTCTCCTCATTTGCTAAGATTCAAACCATCTCTTTAAATTCTGTGAAGCTAAGACAATTAATTTTAAAATGCCTGGAAATGAGTGAAGTCTCCAGATGTTAATGGCTTGTTTAATTCTACTGCAGGGACATTAAAGAACACTAATCAAGATGAGAACTAGGTTGTTTTCCAGGTTGTACAAATACCAGAGTCATTTGGAGCAGCTGTAATAAAATCCCTTGTTATCATGGAGCAAGGTGAGACACACAAACAAGGTCTTTCAGCCTTTATTTTTCAGTCAAGTGATATTAATTATCTGTAGCATCTTTTAGGATCCAAATGAGAAAATATAGTTTATAACAAATATGCTCTCCATATTAAACCTATCAGCATTTTTTAAACTTGAAGAAGTAATTGTCAATCCTATGATAATACAAATTATAGCAAACCCAAAATGTGTTCAGAAACATTTCAAAGACATTATTTTCTGATATTCTAGTTAATTTTAGGATTGCTCTTTATCTTGTCAAGATTGTTTGTACAGTCTTTTCCTTTTTTTTTCCTGTGTCATTTTTCCTTTTTGCTTTCTCAGTTCTCTTTTCACAAGTTGAAATATATTTCTTCAAAGTACTGCTGCCATCTGGGCTTTCCCCTAAAGCTAAAACAGTACTTTGGTTAAATTATTTATTTGTCCTAGGTATTGGTCAGTAATGTCCAGGTGTGGCTGACACAGGATATTGCTGATGATTGCAGTGAATTGCATGTAATTAGAGTTGTAGTCAAACCCTGTAAAACTGATCTCTCACTGAATGCTTTAGATCATTTACATGGAAAAGTTCATGTCTGGTGAAATGTGTGATTTGTCAGTCTTACTTCTGACACCTCTAAGAGTAAGGCATTAGTCATTTTTAGGCACTGCATTCACCTGTTTGTGATGCTAAAGTGCCACAGGCATAGCTGGTCTATCCTCATAGAAGCCTGTCTTGCACTTCATTTTTCTTAGCATTTTCCTGACTTAAGAAAGTCTGATTCTTTTACTAAGAGGTTTCTAAACCCTCACATGTAGTAGTGATTGAGTAACAATTTAATAACTTTCTTGCTTCCATTTTTTTAAAAATCTTGTCTGTAGAAAAATCTGTCTGGGTCAGTGTGTCCCAATAAAGCCTGTAGCATTTACTTCTTTTATCTTTTCCTTTGTCTTCTCCTAATGGCTCTTCCCCCGGTCTGGAGGCTGCTGTTCTGCAGCTTGCCTGCTGCTTGTTGTCAGCTTCCATCAGACTGAAGGATTTCTGGGAAGGAAAGACTCTTACAGGGCCTCTTTTCACCTCATCTGTGCAGCTAAAGATTTGACATTCACTTCCTGAGACAGGATGAAACTCTGGTTTTGAGAAACATTATGTAAATCAACTGTGTTATGTAAGGAACTCCTAATAATGATGTACATTACAGCATATTTATAAGATTAAAGGCAGTACTGCATCCTGTGCACTGGCAAAAAAGCAGACTCCTGAAAAAATACCTTAAAATTGAATAATTATAATAGACTTGATGTTTGTTTGATGTTTCTGTTTAGGTGCTGACTGCAGCACAAATTAAATCAATTTGCCTGGCCATACTAGAATCAGGAAAACAGTATGCAGTGAAGAAGAGGAAACCAGTCCCACTGATGTATTCCTACTATGGAACAGAGTATCTTGGTGAGTAAAACACACCAACACCTCTGAGAGTGGTGCTCTGTGGAGATGCTGAGCTAGGAGGCACTTTAGGAATAAAATATGTAAAATCTACAGTGTGGGATTTCTCCTGAGCCAGTTGGGACCATCCATCCTCCTCCTCCTCATGGGCAGCTGGGTCAGAGCTCACCTGAAGCAGAGGGGAAAGGCCACTGGGCAGGGCCCTTGTGGGCTTCTCAAGGCACAGAATCACTGCAGAAAGTGTGAGATTGGCTCACAGTTCCCTGGCAGGGGAGCAGAGAGAGCAGTCACTGAGTTGTGTGTTCCACAGACCCTGGCAAGTGCAGACAGTTCTTGCACTGAAATTTAGGTGTTAGCTCACTGATACTGTAAAGTCAGTAACTGGAAATACCAATTTATGGCCCAGTTTCAATTTGCATTCAGCAAATGCAAATATATGGCCCAGATTCAGCAGTGTGTTAAGAAGAGTAACACCTTGAAACAGAATTCAGTTCAGGTTCAGTTTAATTTCCTACAGTGAGTTTCAGTCATATCAGAGTGAGAGCAGCAGGAATTCATACATATATTTTGCAGAGCTAGAGGAACTAGAAATGACAGAAGTAGTAAAATGTGGTGTTAGGCACCTAGAAATCTTTTATTCCAAGCACTATTTCAGTATGCATAAAGAAGATGAAGGAGCCATGCTATTGACAAGGAAACCTATCCCAAGGGAAAGTTGCAATGAGGTGCAGACAGGACCTAAACCCACCCTCTAATTCAATTGTTTCTCTTTTTTCCAGGGGCAGCACATGGGCTTTCCTCAATCCTGCAGATGTTGCTCTCCTATTATGAGTACCTGGAGCCAGCAGATCAGGAGCTGGTGTGGCAGAGTGTGGATTTCCTGATGGACCAGGAGCAGAACAGCAACTGGCCCCCTGAGCTGGGGGAGACCATCGAGAGGGAGAACGAGCTGGTGCACTGGTGCCATGGAGCTCCAGGTTCTTTTCCCATTGATCTATGCACAGCCAGATGCTGATCACATTGCTTTTCCACATTAGGTGATTCCATGTAGAATCTCAGGTTAAATTCGACCAAAGTGAAAAAAAACCCAAAGGACATAAAAAAGTTACACTTTGAGATGGGGAAATTCATTAATTGCTATTATTCTTCCCCAGGAAAACCTGTATCCCATCACTGTTCTTGGGTAATAACACAGATGTGGCTTACAAGAACACTTCAGCTACTCCAGTGTTTGTTAAATTCACACCACAAGTCAGCTGAACATTTCCTTAGGCACTTGAGTTAGTTATGTGTCATGTGCATAAGGTTACTGTGAACTGAGCTGTGCAGTGCTCTGGTGAAGATTATGACTAATTTATATAAATCCCCTCTAAAAATAAGCCAAATAGCTTTTTTTTTTAGCAGAAGTTAGTATGCATAACTGTGTCTAACTAGAATAAAGCAGTGTATGCCTCATTAGGGAAAAAAAGTGAGTTTGTTTTTCTCATTTAGTAAAAGTTTGTATCTGTTGTCAGTGTAAGAAATTACTTTGCCCATCCTTGTGTTTCTGTCAATGTAAGCAGATGAGGTAGATGGGGATTTGGAGCCAATAGAAGACAGTGCCAAGAGTTTAATGTTTAAAGGCAAAAATGTGACTGCTCTTTTAAAATTATGAAAGTCTGGGAATGTTGGAGTAAACCCTGAAATTCAATAATGCCTTGAAAAGATTGAAAGTGGTATTGTCACAGGGAGTAGATAATTACATTTACTGTGTGTTTTTAGCATAGCAGATACTCCCCCTTCATGGAGCATTTTGAGGCTACACTGACATGTCTAGAGCACAGCCTGCAGTTTTTTTAGTGTATTAATCTTTATTTTCTTAGGTGTTCTTCGAAACCCTTGGTGTGCTTTTTACAAAAGACAACCTCACTGCTCTTTTCCTAGGCATTGCATATCTTTTTGCCAAAGCTTACCTGGTTTCCAAGAAGCCTCAGTATCTGGACACTTGTATCCGCTGTGGAGAGCTCACCTGGCAGAAAGGCCTCCTGAAGAAGGGCCCTGGCATTTGCCATGGGGTGGCTGGTAGTGCTTATGTGTTCCTGCTGCTCTACAGGCTCACTGGCAACTCCAAATACATATACAGGGCACAGAGGTGAGCATTCCTGTCTTCTGGATTTAGGTAATGCCAGAAAGTTTCAGGAACGTTGTTAGAGCAGAGTCTGTGATCACCACCCTCAGATGTAACCTGAGTGTTGAAGGTTCAGGATCAGTTCTGGCTGTGAGTTCTGGGCTGGGTGCAGTCTGTGGGAGCTCTGCAGTCCCATTCCAGGCTGCCTGGGTTCTCCCAGACTCTCCCCTGCCCAGGAGCCTGGTTCCTACAGTGGGAACTGGGCTGCATGTGGAGGGGTCACATGCATGCAGGTCCATTCTGATGTGGTAGCAGAACTCACACAAGCTGTGTGCCCAAGTCCAGGAGTAGGGTAAAACATGATTTGTTAGGATTTTTTTCAGAGCATTTAACACTATTCCATATCATTAGAAGTGAAAAGTAAATATAGGATGTGGTGTGTAGTTATTTTATATTTTTTTAATTTCTCATTCCCACCTGTGGCTTAGCTAGTGGGGTTAATTCTGTTTTGTCTGAGTGCAGGCACATGTGGTCCAGTAAAAATTCTCTCATGGTGCTGCAGTTATCTTTAACTATGTATCTCTAGTTTACTGTACCTGTTTAAAAACATACTATTCCATGTTTGTTACTGTTTTCCTTACAGCACAGAGTAACAAGGGGAAGTGGTATAGTAATTAAGATTACTGATTTTCAGTCTTTTGCTTATTTTTTTAATTTGTGTAGATTACACAATTTGTTGCATTGATGTGAAACATTGCTTGCATCCTAAAAGTTATCAAAAAGTATTTGTTTAATGATACATATTACAGAAATCAGAAAAAGTTTATAGCTCTCAAACAAGCATAATGCACACACGGATTGCAAAGGTTTGTCTCTTCTGGATCTATTGAACCTCAGTATCTTGTGGAAATTGGATAGTGTAGAATTTGCAGAAAAGGTTAAATATTGATCATTCTACTTTCTTAAATTACTGAGTGTTATTAAAATGATGCTTCCAAACATGTAGACTGAGAGGAACATAAAGTAATAACAAACTCTTTTTTTTCTCTCTTAGGTTTGCAGAGTTCTTATTTACAGAAGAATTTAAGTCTGGTTCCCGGGCACTAGAAAGTGTATATAGTCTGTATGAAGGTTTTTCAGGAACTGTGTGTTTCCTGACTGACTTGCTGCAACCCAACCAAGCTGAGTTTCCTCTCTTCAGTGTCTTTGTCTAAAGACTGATGTTCTCCAGGGCCAGTCCTGGAGGTAGTGGGAGAGGGCACCTGCAGTTCCACTTACTTTTCCAGGCAGGCTATGTACAAAACGAGCTGGGGTACCACTAATGTTAGCCTTAATGTAGCTGGGAGTCAGATCAAATCCAACACACACTGGGGCTTGGGGGGTGGGGAAGTGTGTGGTCAAAATAAATGGGTCAGTGGGGAAAAAAAATGGGGGAGCTGATTGAATCTGATGTCGTAGATATTTATCTAATTATTCAAGTGAGAGAGAAAGGGGCATTATCAAACTTAATTTGGTGAAAAAAAGGCAAGCTAGAATTGCAGGGACATGCAAAGAAGAAACAGTGATGCACCTAAAAGATTTTAAAAAGAGTCCCACAAAAACCATTCATGGAGCAATTCACTAACTGGGGAGGGTGTTATAGACATGTCACTGCACTGCACAAAGGCAAAATCTGGGGCTTTTTTACCCTAAACCACATCTGCTAGTTTTAGTAACATATATTAGGAAAATCTGTATCTTTGAGCTCTTTGGTCCTCATATAATGGCAGTTCTGTAGATAGCTGAGTGATCAGGCTGCAGTTTCACAGTTCATTTCAGCAAGTGGGGTCTCGTGTGTGTAAATGAGCACTGAATTGGACCTTTCCTACTAGAGCTCAGTCTGTGGCAAGGAGCTGGTCTCCTTTCTGATCTACTGTAACTGTGTCATGTCTTGTCTGTATTTTCCCAGTCACATGGTAGATGGGTGGAGCCATGGAGAAGACTTGGATGGAAAAGTTCTGTAGCAAAGATGCAGTAGGCAGATGCTTTCTTCATGATAGAGCATTGCCAGATAAGTATTGTTCAGTGATACAAAAGCTTCCTTTAAAAATTAATTACTTATAGCAGCAGTTCTGAACAGTACCCTAAAGTTTTTCAGATGATGGAAAACCTATTTTCCTTGATGAATTCTTCACTACAAGGGGTGGCATACTGATCCTCAGAAAAAACCTGATAACAAAACTCAAAATTGCTTTTTTTCCTAGTTAGCAAGATATTGTATATGCCCAAATGATTTTTAGCTAGAAAATAATTTAGATAGGAATAAATGGGCTGCTCAATACTAGTTGCACTAGCACGTATAGTTGCAAATACATGCTGTTTTCTATGTATTGTAGATATGATGAAATGGTACTTGAAAGCTAAAGAAAACACTAACCTAGATTTGTACTAAAAAATAGAAAATTAATATCTGTATTTAAAATCTATTTACTGTTTATTTATTTTTATTTATATATTAATAATATATATAAAGACAAATCGGGAAGACCAATATCTCAAAAACTGAAGTTGGAGAGAAAAAGCTGCTGTACATGCACTGCCAAACAATGCAGTCCCTCTTCCTGCATTCTCAGCTGGAGGAGATTACAATTTCTTTATTTTTAATGCCTAATGGATTAAAGTTCCCATTTCATTTCAGTGGGCTTTGATCAGCCTATAAGATGGAGCTGGGTCTTGAAATCCTCCCACATTTTAATATAATAATCCCTTCCTGCTCTTGCTACTGTTATTTTAATGAGATGGCTTACATTATTATGAGCTGCAGATAAGGATTTCTGTTACTCTGTCTTGCACTATGCAGCTCTAATTAATTACTTAGAAATAACCATAGTTCTCTGGTGAATAAAGCAGTGCAGTTCTGTATCAGTTTGTCAAGAATTTAGGTATCTTTTAGTGAATGGAAATGTTAAAATTCAATATACTTATGTGTTTATTAAAACACATAGGTTAAAAGGCTATATGGTCTTTTAAGAAAGCCAGTAATGTCACTTACTTGGTTACTCTGAGCAGTGAGATGTGTGCACACAGAGGGATGAATTCCATAGGGAGGGTGTACACATGAGGCTGAATCAAAAAGTCAGTGGATATGGGAGTGTGCTCTGCCCAGCCCTGTGGAAATGCTCCTGTTAGACCAGAGCAGAGGCAACTGCCAGCAGTGAAGGATTAGGATTAGGATTTTTTATCTAGTTGGTTTCTGTAACACATTTGGCTCCTGTATTTCATATCTGGAGCCTTCTTAAAGAAAAGTTTAAGGAAGGTAAAACTTGGCCTATCCACTTCTTCTAAATGTGATTCTTCACAAATGCCAGGGAATAAACATTGAGCTCAGTGTCAGTTTTCTAGTGTTTTTTCCTGTGTGTCTCTATCTGTAGAATTTCTTCCAATTCACATTCAGAGGAGACTCTGATCTTCTCTATGTTGTGAGCAACAGCACACTCAAAACAGATCTCCTGTCCCCACAGCCATTCTCTGTATATGAAGCCACATGTTTTGGAGAGACAAAACAGTTATTTGAGTAAGAGTTAGTCCATTCAACAATGAGAAAACCCATGGAACCACCCAGTGTTTGAAATCTAGGTCCCAAACATTTCTGCAGGTTATGTGAGTTCAACACTGATTCTGGCAAGGGCAGCACACGAACATCCAGTCTGATGGGATATATCTGGTAAAAATCTTGGAACATACTTGTTCATCTCTTTCATCAGACATGGCAGTTTGAGCTCACTCTCAGAGATTTGTGGCTTTTCTTACCTGACCTGGCTGGGTTAAGGTGGCTTCTAGATGTGCTGCAGTCACAGCTTCTGAACACAGTGCAAATACAACCCAGGGCTCTTTGGAAAATGCTCATTAAATCAGCAGGGTTTTTTCAGCTTTCCCTTCTTTATTTTCTTATCTGATTTTTTTCTCTCTAATATATATGCTCTTACAAATGTGCTGTTGCAATCTTTATTTGTTGCTTTTAAGACATTGACAGAACAGCAACCTGAGTAGAGCTGTCAGCACTTTCCAGTGTAATAAAAATTAAGGTCCTCTGTGTACCCTTCTTCCTGCTTTAAGAAATCAACCTTGCAAACTTTGCTAGACATTCTCCATGGAATGCTGTCTCCTCCTGCTCCCAAACTGGGCCCTTATGGACTGGAAAATGTATTCCTGAACACATTAACAGATTCTGCCCTGGTGCTGTCAAAAGACTGTGTTGTGGGAAATTGGAGAAGCCTCTTCCAGGGTGTAAAACACAGTAACTACGTCATGTTTGCACATTAGTTCCTTGGTTGTGTTTAGTTTCTAAAGTGTAGGTAATAGGAATTTAAGTGATATAATAGTATTTCTGATTATGCTGTTAAAGCAAAGAGGATGCATTATGTGGGTATTGGTGCTTATTTGTGATGTACCTGTGTTTGTGTGGTGCTATTTGTGAGTAAAGCTGTAGATTATACATCAGTTTAAGGAGCTATATACTGTTCATGACTTTTAGCCATCCATAGATTACTGTCAGGGAATAATTTTGAGGGAAGCTAGATCTGTAGTGCCCAGATTTATTGATTTTAGGATTCATAGAACCAGATGCTGTAAGTTTTATCAGCAGTACAGTTCTAACAAATATATCTTTATTTTCAATTGCTACTCACAACTTCTCATCATAATAACATGTTTATTTTGTGCCACTGCTTTCAATATCTGCTTTGATTGCATCATTGTTGCCTTCAATTTCCCTGCTTTTGTTTCCCAACCTTTGAATAACTTGAAGAGGTTGAAGAAGCAGCCCAGGTCTTTTGTTCTTGAAAATAAGATTGATTGATTTTGCTTAAGCAGGGTGTTCTACTAACTTGCATTACATTATTTTATGCTCCCAGATGGTCTCTTCTCTCTGGCTGTGCCATTTCCCACCTGCTAAGAAAAAATCATTATCTTGTATAACAACTGTCACTGATGTTTTACTTCATTAAATAAAACAGAGACTTTCTAGGGAGCATGGTCATTTCTCCATGCTTCAGTGTTTCAGTTCTGTCAGGACAACTGAAACCAAGTGAAATTGCTAAACATTCCAAAATTCATTTTTAAGTAGTTCTGGGAAATATACATAAGGGAATGCAAGGAAAGGGATCACCTTTATTGCTACTCTGTCAAATTAAGTAATGCCACTTTGATGTTCTAATACTGATTATATATGGACATGGAAAGAATATGACAAGAATACTGATCGGTATTTTTAATACTGTGGAAAAAAAATGAACCATAGGTATCTGCTGTATTCAGAAACATGGTGGGGCAATATGTGCAAATGGAAACTTTGATAAGCAATCAAGTTTTTGTACTCATATAGTTTTCTGCATATACAGTTACAGCATCTACCAACATATTGCATGTTTTATGCCAACAGTGACCTATTTTAGTGTATGCATGCATTTTGAGACTATATCCTTGTTCTTTGGATCTCTGAGGTCTGCCAAGTAAATCTCAGGTGCAGTAATCTTCTACATACCTTGAATATTCACTGGCATGAGTGCATATTCTAATCTGTAGGAAGATTAGTATATCAGGACTAAAATTGCCCGATTGATTTTCAAAGAGTAATCTTGCTCTGAAGAATTAACAATTGCTGGCTGGCAGCACAGCCTGGATGCTCTGAGAAGATATTTCAGTTCATATAAAGATCTCTAAGACTAAGTAGTAGCAGCAGAGAGCTAAATTGAAAGGAAAGAAGAAAATGACCAAAAATCCCACTATGAGGGGAACAACATACTTCAAAGCCATAAGCCAAAAATGCTCAGGGCCCACAAAACAATACAGCAATTTAGGGAGGTGAACAGGCATTTTCCAAAGGAATAGCACAGTAGTGGTACAGTAAGCACTGTGCATGTTTCAGCTGCCTTGAACAGCACTCCATTGCCATTATAGCAAAGTCATCAAATGTTAAAAAACATTTGCCTGTGAAGGAGTTGCCTGTAGCTGAACCTACTGCCTACTCCTATCTTTCAATGGAACAGAAGTGCACTATCCATGATAAGGCAGATTAAAAAAATACATTCAAGAAGCCAATAGCACCAACTTTCAATCTTGCCTTTGAATATTAAACTTGGCTAATTTGTACTGTCACCATTGGTCCTACACCTTGTATATTGGAAATTCTACATCATGCTCTCAAAAAACAAATTTATTAATAGCAATCTGCTTGAAAATACATAAGGCCATATTTATTTTAATGCTTAGAAGGGAGTCCCTTGACTTTCTTCATGGCATGACTCAAAGAGAAGATGGAGGCATTTAGGTCAAGTACAGTAATACCAATTAGAATGGCAGAAAATTATTTCAAAGCTTATTTTGCCAAGTGGTATAATGATATTTGAATACAAGAGATTTTAAAGTGTAGTGATACCCAGCAACAGCATTGTATGACTATGTAGAAGTCCTTAAGTCAATTATATCCTCTAGGGAATAGAAAACAGATTCTAGTCCAACATATATTTTTATATCATATAGAAGAGAAAGGCTGTGTGATCAGAAATTTAACTCTGCTTCTGTCTTCATTGCCATGACCACACAAGAGAGAAGGATGTCCTTTAACAATGGTCTGGTTTTGCCACTGAATTGGCCTTCTGCACTCATTTTAAGAGCCTGATAGGCCACCTGCTGATGTCTGTGGTGAACCTCTGCTTGATTCCAGGCATGTAAGGTAGCTCCTTCCACATGTGTGAAACAGGGGTTAAACTATGTCATTCCAGACCCCAGGCCTACAAACTTTCCTTTACACATGAGTCCCATGGAATTAGTAAGGCTTGTCTGCATGGTATGAGGAAAGCACAGGTGTTTGCATATGCAGGGCCCTGTTTGATGGCAATTTATACACATTTTATCTCGAGATCTCTGCAATAGACGTGAATACCAATACAAATAAAAAGTACAGGGAACTTAAATGGCATTATTTAATGTCTAGTTTGTGTTGGTGACACTTGATTATTCAGTATATTCCAGTGTGTGATGTTCATTCCTTGAGTATGTGCCACACCCTAGATTGGTTCCTCAGTGTTACAGCCATTCACAGCCATGATGTGGTACAGGCCTGTAGAATCAAGGTTGATTTGATTCTTTAGAGATGCACCTTATTGTTTGAAAGCAGGACCCCTGCTTTTCTAATATTTTAAACACTGTGATCTTTCAGAATGTGTTTATTGTATTAGTTTTGTATTGTAGATTATGATAGAAACTAGATTTTATAGCTTTTTAAAAGCAGTGATAATACTAAGCTTCATAGTGGCAGAACAAACTGTGTATATCCATATTATGAATATTAAAGCTGTGATTATATTTTGCCTTAAATAAAAGTCCAACCTTGAACAGTATGATTTTGCATTGGATTGTTTATTGGATTGTTTCTGTACTTACCTTTCATAGTGCTGGCAACACTTCCTTCTAGAATAGTCATGACTCAGTGCTCCAAAAGCTTTTCAGTGCTTATCAAAAGTAAAATAAATCATTTTAGGATGAGATAAATCATCCAGGCTGCACACAGCACTTAGATAAAACACCTTATGGTAGTTTCCTATAAGACAAGACAGGTTGTTTTTGGCCTGTAGATTGAAGTTTCCCACTGTAGGTATTTATTTTCAGGTATTTATTGTCAGTCTGCTTAAATCTCAGTTTCCATAGCCTCTTCCCTTTCCAGAAAGACACTCCATTCCCAGTGAAGAATACAAGCATTAAATTCACCTTGGCCTGCCCACAACAAGGTTTCCATCTTTATCATCATGAGCTTACCTCAACTTGAGCTGAGCAATGGGACTACAGATTTGCCAGTGCAGTAGTTAAAGAAATGGCCAAGTGTTTATTGTCACTTTTTGTGTAAATCTGGTGACACCCTAACTTGCATTGAAGAACAGTAGCAGATGAGCAGAAGTAGCCAGTAGTGTTATCCCATTAATAATATCTCAGACTTCTTGTCTTGCCTTCCTCTTGTGCTCCTGTAGGTCCCAGGTGTGTAGGTAACCCCCACAGGGTGATCAGCAGCTACCTGGGAACAGGCAGGAGCAAAGATCTATCACCAGAGCCAGCTGAGCACCAACCAGGTACCTGCACCAAGAGGAGGAGAGAAGCGATGACTGGAGACTCCTGTGCAGGACACAGGCAGCATCTGCCAACCTGGCTTGGCACCTCAGTTTTGTTTCTTGCCAGGTGCTCAGGTTCAGGATTTAATGGAAGAATTACAAAGGCTTGCCTTCTCCTCAGGCTGTCACCTTGTGCTGCTCATCCATGCACGCATTGGAGATAACTGCTGGGACTCCATAATCTCCAGGACTCCAGAATTTAGGTGGTGAAGGAGAAAGGATCCTGCTGGTGAGGGGGAAAGGCCCAAGGACAGCAGGCAAATGCTGCAGGTCTACAGCTGGTGTCACAGCAGGGCTCAGGGTTCTGTGGCCCAGGGAACCTTTGAAGGAAAAGATCTGGCAAGCAAGAGGAGAGGCACCTGGCAAAGAGCTAAAAGGGCACCTCTGACACTGCCACACTGCCCTGATCAGGGACTCTGAGCTGGGTGCGTCAGGGGAGGCTCTCCTGCACTCACTTTTCTGCCTTTGTTTGGTTTAGTTGTGGGGTTTGTTTGTTTATTAATTAAATCATCTCTCAGCCTTTAATTCTGCACAGGGTTCCTCCTGGTACAGAAGGAAGAAAGCCCTTGTGTCTTCCTTTCAGATCTCTATTTTATCACTCTCCACAAGTCCCTGACAGGAGGGTGCAGCCAGGTGGGGTCAGTCTCTTCTCACAGGCAAACAGTGATAGGACTAAAGGACATGATCTTAAGCTGCACCGGGGAGGTTTAGGTTGGACATTAGGCGGGATTTCTTCACAGAAAGGATGATTAGACATTGGAACGGGCTGCCCATGTAAGTGGTGGAGTCACTGTCCCTGGAGGTGCTTCAGAAAGCCTGGACTCACACTCAGTGCCATGGTGCGGTTCTCCTCCAGCCCAAGCGATGCCGTGGCTGTGCGAGCCCCCAGCCTGACCAAGTGCCCTCAGGGGCACCCGCTCGCCCCCTCCCACCAACCCCCTCAGTTCAGCTCTGTGTGTGACGGCTGAAGGAGCCAAGATGAGGGGGAGCTCCCCGAGCACCGCCGGGGAACCTTCCCCCGCTCCCAGCCCACCCAGGGTGCAGCCCCGGCCAGGATCCAGCGCCGGGCAGGATCCAAGCGCGGTCGGGATCGAGCCCCGGCCCGGATCCAGCCCCGGGCTGCAGAGGCCGCGGGCCAGCGGCGAGCGCGGCGCTCCCTCTGCCGGGGACTGGGCCCCGGTGCGCGGCGGCGGCGGCAGCGGCTGGGCGGGCCGGGCTTGGGCGGCCGCTGCGATGAAATTCCCGGGCTCCGTCCTCATCTCCCTCGTCCTCTTCATGTCCGAGACGGCGGCCGCGCTGTGCCTGAGCGCGGGGTACCACGACACGGGGGACCGCATGTGGCAGACGCTGACGCTGCTCTTCGCCCTCTTTCCTTGCGCGCTGGTGCAGCTCAGCCTGGTCTTCATCCACCGCGACGTGAGCCGCGACCGCCCGCTGGTGCTGCTGCTGCACCTGCTGCAGCTGGGGCCGCTCGTCAGGTCGGTGAGTCCGCGCCGCCTCCAGCGGGCCGGGGCCGGAGCCGAGCCCGGGGGCGCCCGGAGCCCCCCGGCCTTGGTGCGGTGCGGGCGGGGCCGCTCCCGCTCTGCACCGCCGCTCCCGCGTCCTGCCGTAGCTGCGGGAGGAACAGTCCCTTGGGAATGCCTCGGGCACAAACCTGACCCCGGGGAAAGGGGCTCAGCCCTGCCGGGCCGCGGGAGCCGCCAGAGCCCCTCCGCGTCCCGCTCTGCGCTGGGTTTGCGTCCCTGGGGCTTCTTGCAGATGGTTGTGTCTGTCCGCAGCTGCCTCATGCACAGCGCTTTGCTCTCAGATCACTTCCAAGAGAGAACGGGAGATTCTTCCACCGAGTCTCCTTCTTCCACAACGATAGTACCCGTCCCATCCGTGCGTCTTGGAACATCAGTGATGCTGTAGTCTGGCTTTGCCTTCCAAACGGGAGATTCCCACCCCAAATTGGAGATTTTTTTCTGTTTCAGTTCAATGTCTCACTGAAAATACCAGTAGAGGAAAAAAAATAGATGAAAAGTTACAGCCGTGTGCAACTCCAAGACAAAATATTTCTGGAGGGCATTAATTTTAAATTTATACTAAAATTTTTTATTTAAAAAGAAAGGGAATTAAATGTAGTGTGTATGTAGTAGAGGCTTGGAGAAGTATCACCAACTTTTTGAAATTCCTGAATAGTGTGTAAAAGAAAGATTTGTTTATGCTAAGGAAAGGTGAACAGTTTGGATGTTACAAAATATCTTATACTTCAAAAACATTGACTTCTTCTATAACTATGCTGTTTTGCTTGCTTTGTTAAAATTGTAAAGATGTTGAAGTTGTGGCTTAACAATTCTGAAAGAGCTCTGATTTTCTAAAAGCTAAGACCAAACTGCTTCCACATTTTTGGAAAATAAGAGAGGAAGCAAAGAGAAAGAAACTATCAAAAATTAAGTGCATGACTTTTGTTATTCTAAATCAATTTATTGAGGTAAGATGAGGAAAGAATCTAATGTCAAGCCAGAATATGTGAGGAAGCAGACAAAAGATTGGAGCAACAGGAAGAAATTGAAGGATTGTTTTTTTCAATTATACAAAAGAAACATACATTTATATTTTGACCTCAACCACCAAGCATTACTTGACTTTCTGTTTCTTTTTCAACATCAAGTTTTCAGTTCACAACACAAATCTTATCTTGTGCAGAATGCAGTTCCTGCTCTCTGGTGAATTCCCAGCTGCAGCCACTGCTGTAAAAGCAGTGAGCATATGAAAGACCTCTCCTCTCCTCTAGTGTGTTGCTGACTCTGCACTTTTTCCTTTCTCAGAGATTTACAAACTTAGCATTTCCAGGAGGTTTGAGATGTTCTGGATGTGCTGTGCCAACAGCACAAGTGACTATGATGCCATTAGTCTCCATGGCATCATTTAGGCATGACAAAGTGATGTATGTTGACCTCTCTCTAAACCCAGGATAACTGGAATTATAATTACTAATTTAATAGAGTAGTACATTCATACTACCTGAAAAACATATTTTTTGCTAAAGGCTGGAAGGACTCTACAAATTAAAAGTTTAATACAAACCAAGCTCTCTTTACTTTTAGGGAAATGTATTGGTTTGTAGGGTACAGCACAATGTCTGGGAAGTCAAAATGATCTGACATAGACAGTAAAGGGCTTTGGGATTTTTTTCCTTCCTTGCCTTCCTGCAGCTAAAGATTGCAATATCTGTCAGATGAGGAAACTGATTGCTTCCTGTCAGATATAGCTCTGCACTGTAAATATTGTTGTGTTTTCAGCACACAAAATACCTTCCCTTTCCCTGCTTTGTACAGGAGGCTTCCTACCCTGTGTGGACTGGCACACACACAAGGTTTGGGTGATAGCTAGAAGGCAAAGTGTATTTTGGTTGTATCTACACTGCACTGTGGCTTTTACTTTTTGTAAGCTGAAAAGGACCATTGTCCTTGGAGGCATTTTAGTCCATCCTTGTAGGTAAACCTTTGCTCCAGAGAATCCTGCTGCTCTCAGTCATCTTCTTCCCTTGTGTGAAGCCCGGTTCCATCCTCCCTGCTGGGACTCTTGTGCATCCCTGGCACAGCCCAGGGCTGCTTAGGGAGGGCTGGGTCAAATTAGGTCAAATTTGGTCAAATAGGACACAGACAGTGGAGCCTCCCCAGGCTCTGTCTGCCTGTGGCAGGGGAATGAAACGTTTAAGCACCTTGAGGCTGTGTGTGATGACATGCTGCAACAGAGGGCTGGCAGTTTTGGAGAGCTTTACAAGAAACTTAACAACTTTTTGACTATCTCTGTTTGATACACCACAGTCAGGATTTCTCTGTTCAGCCTTAAATACTCAGATATCAGTGCACTGCTTTACCATCAGCCCATATGTGTTGTGTGAGTTTTTATGCATCATCTTAAAATCTAGACTTTTTTTTTTCCCTTCCTTTTTTCCTTAAAAAAACTCCTTTAGGTTTGAGGAATAGTTTGGGAATATCTTGGCAGGGAAGGAGGCTTTTTAGCCTTGCAAGCCAAATGATTCAGCCTATTTTGAATCATCTGAGTGATGGAAAAAAAGTACTTTCTCTCATAGAACCTTCTTGCATGCCACCACCTTCCCCAACCACCCACACTCCACCTGCTCGGGAGGCACTCGCTGTCCTGCTGCTGCCACTGGAAGGACTAAAATTAGGTAGCATCCCTCTTCCCAGAGAGGACTTTTGGTGTGCTGTTCATGTACCCTTTTTTAATTTCTTCTCCCACTCCCTAGGAGTTTCTCTATAAATTCAGAGCAATTTGTTGAGCAAAATTCCTATTCCCCTTAGTGGCCTGGCTGTGATCCTTAGGATGCAGGCATGCCAGAGGCTCTGCAGAGACTTGGCTGGAACAAAGGGACTGCAGGTTTCTGGGCATCATGGGGATTCCTGCAGCATTTCAGGTCAATGCCACTCCTTATGAATGCACTTGTCTGAATGCTTAAAAGATTTATTCAGGTAGGTTTGGTTTTGGGTTTTTTTTTTTTTGCAAAAGGAGATTCTTTTACCACACTAAGTAAATTATAACAGAAAAAATTACTTAAAACAGTAGCCAGTGTCAATGAGAGGTTTATTGCCTTTGTCTTTTCTCTAGGGAAGGTCATGATGGAGCTTTTTTGCTCAGGCTGCTCCTGTGCTAGGGTCTCTCTCTTTGTTCCCTTCATTTGGGTGGCACTTGTAGCACCAAAGTCACTTTGAGATTTTAAGCACTGCTACAATTCCAATACATAATTACTGGATGTCATTTTGCTGGTGTACTGCTCTACACTTAAGGATTTCTTCTAAGTGTAAATAACCCCTCAGAGAATCAGGGAATTGTTTAGGTTGGAAAAGACCTCTAGGATCACTGAGTCCAACTGACAACCCAGCAGCACTAAACCATGTCCATGAACACCACATGCCTTTTGAACATTCCTAGGCATGGTGATTACACCACTTCCCTGGGCAGCTTATTCCAATGCCTGACTGCTCTTTCAGTGAAAAAATCTTTACTAATATCCACCTGAACCTCCCCATAACCAACTGTACACCATTTCTTCTTGTCCTGTCTCTTGTTGTCTTGGGAGCAGAGACTGTTCCCCACCTCAGTACAACCTCCTGAGGAGTTGTAGAGAGCAATAATGTTCCCCCTGAGCCTCCTTTTGTCCTTACCCTTCATGATAGGCACCAGAGAACCCCCTGTTAACTTGCTTGCCCTTTTCAATTCTTCAAGTAACAAAAAGGTCAAGAGCTGAAGTGCAGATTTCCAACAAACTGACTTGGCCAGTCAGGGCTCACAGTGACACACTGGGGATGTTGGTGATGCTGGGACTGTGAGTCTGCTGGATGCAGGACTCCTCCCACCTGATTTACTGAAGGCTCTACTGAACTGGCATCATCAAAACCAACTGGTGTGAACCTGGCAGTGCTTCCTTCTGGTACCAGCTTCATGGAGAGGGAAGTTTTTGTGACTGCAGGTGTCTTTGGAACTCTGTTCCCTGGTGCTCTGTTAGTGCAGTGTGAGCCCAACCTGTTCTGTGTGAGGAGATGCAATCAGGGGAGGGCTGGGTCAGCAGAAGGATGAACTCCTGCAAAACAAATCTCAAGTAAATATAACAGGCCCCCTATATAGAACACTAATGACTGTTTTCCTCAGGTTATGATAGGACAAGGATATAAACAATAGACTTTTTTTTTTTTTTAATGGGATCAGGCTTTGTTTCTCAAGGCATAAGGAGAAAGAATTACATGTACCATGTAGACAGCAGCGCAGCAGATGCAGGAGGAAGCTTGCATCAGACTGCCAGAGGAGCTGCTGTTATGGCCAAAGATTGATTCTGTGAGCTGCAGGAAGTAAAAAAAAAAAAAAAAGAAAAAACCCCCAATGTTTTTTACAATCATTCATGTTTTGGGCATCTAATTCTGCAGTTTGAAATCTAATAAGCTCTAATGGTGCAGATACTGTTTCAGTGACATTGTGCAGAAACCTTGTCCCTACCTTGTCCCTTGTGAGTAGTCTCTCTTTGCTAGTGACCTGCTTAAAAGTTCAAAATAGAACAGGTTTAAAAACTTCCCTTCCTTGTAGGGCTTCATCAGCAGACCTCACTGTAGGACATCCTCCTAGCTTTAAACTTAACAACTCTTGATGTGCCTCCCTCTTTTCCAAATGGGAAGAATATGTCTAGACTCTGTTCAGGCTATTTTCTTTCCTTTATTCTTGAGCAGCTGGGTTAGATGTGCATGGTGAGGTGAACAGGAAGTCAGTGCAGGTAAAAGGTAGAACAATGAGTGAGGAGCAGATCTTTGCCTGATGCAGGTGAGTAAATCTGCAGGACTGATAAGTCTTTTGCATACTTCTCTAAAGAGAAGGAATTAGAGAAAATTATGTATCAGAGAAATCTACTTGTACATTTACAGCAGATATGTATGGATAGGTCTCAAATAGCCATTTGTTCTTGGAGTGCTGGTTGGGTGTGGAAAGTTCCCTGTTTTCATTGCCTTCTCCCTCTTCACACCACCATTATTTTGCTTGTGTTCCAGTCCCACGCATCCATGATAAAAGAGGGAATGAGGTGCTCACTCTCAACAAGTATATAAGGGTAGGATTATTCCTCCTACTTACTGTGTAGAAGACAAATGTGTTGGGGCTGAATCACTCTTTGTGGGCACTGTCAGGATCCCTGGAAAAGTATGGCTCTTCTTTCTGCCAAGATATGGCAGCATGGGAGAAAGCAGCGCCATCCTTTTCTTACCTCTTAACTTTCATTCTAGAAAGTACATCTGACTTTTTTTTCTCAGAGCAATTTTAGTTCCTGCACAGCCAGTGCTGTGGTTGGCAGTGCCTTACATGCAGGGGACACAGCCTGCTGCTTGCCTTCTGCTCTTGACACCGTGTGAAGGGCTCTTGCAGTGGCCCTAAACATCATTGCAGGAGATGGATTGTGCAGAAGTTGGGATCTCTCACTGCTGTCCCTCTGGAGCAGAGCAGCAGTGAGGGCTTCTGTGGAATTCACCGTGCTGCAGGAGCTTCTAACTGTGGGGGAAAGCTGCCATGAAGCAATCCCCTTCTTGCTTTGTCTCTTAGTTGTATTTCATGCTAAAAAAGAGCAAGCCAGGCAGTTCATTTAAAGACAAGATGCCCAACCCCTCAGCATGTGCTTCGTAGGCAAAGTCACAGTCTGACACAGCAACATGGTCTGCATTGATTCTTCATCACAGTTGGGCACCCTTCTTATCTGCATGGTCATTCAAATGCCTGTGCCCCTCCCACACTATTCCTTAAACTTTTAGATTGGTGCTTGTTCTTTTTAGTGTGTCAGCTGCCAGTCTGCTCCTGCTGGAGGCAGTTGCTTGGGCAGTGGCACCAGCTGGAATCCTGAATGCATTTGTTATTTTTCCCAGAAGGCTTGACTTCCAGAAACACTCTTGCATGGGACTGGCAGGGCCTGGGAGAAAATGGGCATCATTATCAATGTAATCTGAATGCTTGCATATAGCATTTTTTATTACTCTGTCATAGTGGTAAAAGCCCCATTTAGCTCTAAGGTTTACTCATCAGACCATTTCACATTATGTTTGCTTTTCTGTATGGTCAGAAAATCCCCATCACAAACAATATACTGCTACTTAATACTCAACTAATAAAAAAAATAAAATCAAATGCTCGCTCCAAAACTCTGGTTTTGGTTGGTTATAATGTTTGCTATTGTCAGTAGTCTCATAAATCTGATCTCCTTAATGGGATCACTACATATTTTTTTAGATGGGTCCCTAGACTATATCTGCTTCTAATCACACACAGCAAGAGTTCAGAGCCTGATGCTGAGATCCAGTTTTCCATAATATACTCAGACTTGCCCTCAGCTCAGGGTGAATGCATGGCTGTGAATACTAAATGAGACAAAAATGGTCTGGGATCTTTCTTTTTGGAACAAAATCGATTTGTTGGTTTCAGAATCTTTGCTGGCTTCATAAAGCCTCAGAGCCTTATTAATTTTTCACACTTTCTCTTTGGCTGTATGGATTCTTTCATGTGGAACAAGATTGACAGGGAGTGAAAAGATTAACGAGGGGAAGACAGAAAGTCACCTCTGTGAATGGAGCATCTAGAGCAGCAGGAATTTTGAATAGCTTTAGTCATAGTGATAGCGGAAGCCTAGTGAATCAGGAATAGTACTATACAATCCCAAAACTGCTCTTCATCTAGAGCATTTGAAACTTGCTAGTGGTCCAATAAGAGGAAAAAATGAAGTAAAGTTTATTAAATTAAACAGAAGTAATTTTTTTTCTTCTCCCTTCCCCTTCATCTTGTGATTTCACCTGTTCCTTGCTTGTTATTACTTCCTAGACAGGGGTGAGTATTTCCCAGTGTGTTTTGGGTCCTGCTTGATGCCCAAGCCTGCCCTTGACACCTTCACACCCAAGCAGTTCTCTTTGAAGAGAACTCTTCATGAGTAAACTTAATGAAAACTATGAACTAGTTTTCATAAAATTTTAGCCAGTTAAAAAACAATCATTGAAGGAAGTTGAGGAAGATGTTCTTTCCTTGCAGATATCTCTCCGGGGCTGTTATCTTCTTTTATACTCCAGGAGCCAGATTGTCCTTGTTGCTGCAGCATTTTCTGGAGACAGCCTTTTCTGTTCTCTCCCAAATATATGGATTTATCTTTGTGCGTGGGTGAAGGCAGCAAATAGTGTAACAATATGTAATTTATGAGTAGAAGTGTATGTGCTGGCACCAGTTTGTTCCTTGGGAGTTAGCTGGCAGTAAGTTAGACCTGTATAAACAAGAGGGTTTGGCTCCCACTGTGTTTAAAGTATGAAGAGCTGCAGCAACTGGAAACACTGCATCTTCTTAGTTAGAATATTTTTTGCCAGATTATATTTAATATTTCTTTAACAGTACAGTGAACATAAGCACACTTAAGAACTAAAGCTCCTATTCTCGTGCCTTAAAAAAAAAAAAAAGTTGACTTCAAGGGTTGTGAGGCTCAAAACTGCTCCTTTTCACTGATCTGGCATGTTACTGGTGTTTTGAACCATTGCTTGGTAAAGTTTGGAGATGTGTGCACCTGCTTGTACCCCAAGCTTCTCTCTTCAGATGTTTTAAGGCAAAAAATGAAAAGTGGGTTTATTGCCATGTCTCATTAGCATCTCACAGATGTATCAATAACAAGAAGAAAAAGACATGAGTAGCTGAAGAAACACACTTCCAATTTGGGTCCTGGGTTTGGCATCCTTGTAGTAGATGAGCAGTTTAAGGACTTTAATGGGACACCAGAGAGCAAGGGCAGCTCATAGAAAATAATTAAACCTCCTCTCAAGTCTGAGTACTACAAGCAGCCCAAAGGGCACTGCCAGGTTCCTGCTCTCTAGTAACATGTAATTCCTGTTTTAAAGAATGAAATCTGTCATATTCCAAGTTCACCAGGAGGAGAAAACCTACAGGCTTTGCTTTATGAAAAAATGGCTTAGGACTTAGTATGTGACTGCTTAGAATACCAGGAAGTGGGGAGACCTTTCATTCTTTCATTTTTCCCTGTTACTCTATCTACTTGTTTGCTTGTAGGTGTGTGGAAGCCCTTTACATTTACTTCCGTGCTGGCAGAGTTGAAGATCCCTATGTCAGCATCACAAAGAAGAGGCAGATGCCCAAGGATGGGTACTCAGAAGAAGTAGAGAAGGAAGTGGGACAGGCTGAAGGCAAGCTGCGCACACACAGGTCTGCCTTCAGCAGGGCCTCTGTCATCCAGGCCTTCCTCGGCTCAGCGCCCCAGCTCACGCTCCAGCTCTACATCTGTGTCCTGCAGCAGGAGGTCACGGTGGCCAGAAGTAGGTGGAGCTGTTGCTATGACCTTTTTGGTGTTTGGGTGGGAGGGCAGTCAGTTATAGCTGCCTTGCACAAGAACCAAGAATTCTGCAATGGGTTTCATCTCCCTGATAGCTTTTGATGGTGATGTTGCTTTCAAGTTTATATCATCATGTTTTAGACTATGACACCTTCTGTAGCACACTTGGGTGCTGTAAAAACACTGATTTGATAAAGTGACCATTATGGCATGAGAGGGAGGCAGCTGGAGGGACCAAGCTGTCTTCATGAAGAATTTTTAAAACTGCCTCTGTTCCATTTTGTTTTTTTGAGCAAAACTTTCTGGAAAATTCCTTGGGGTACACTGCAGAGCATGTTTTGTCATGCTGCCTTAGGGAAGATGTACTTTCAGGAAAGCATTTTTAAGTATGAACTGAGGACATGAACTATCTTTACTTGTGCCAGACTCTGAAAAGGCAGGACTCAGTAAGCTGCTATGCAACTGTGGTCATCTCATCTCTGGACCCAAGCTGTTAAGCCTTCACCAACATGGGCTTGCCAGGACACATCTGTCTTACTGTGGCACTCTGCATCTTGCTTCTATGATATGCTCTTGGTTTTCTGGTACACTGCTAAATGGAGAACCATCATGGGACAAACAGCTTTGCAGTGTGAGAAAGGACTTTGGCACCTTTGTGAACTTTAAGGTGCATTTCCACTGAAACACTAAATAGCTCTTGTATCTCTAAGGCCCTGAGAGAATCTTTGCACAGCTAGGGAGGCTGAGGCTAAGGTGCAAGTTACTAATTGAAATAAAGTCAAATATAATAATAGTAGTAGTAGTAGTAGTAGTAGTAGTAATAATAATAATAATAACAATAATAACAGTAATAACAAAAATAATCATAATAGTAGTAATGAAGGTGATAGAGAGGGGTGGAGGGAGAGAGGGAAAAAAATAAAGCCCAAGAAGGACAAGTGATGCACAAACCATCCCCCAGCATCGATTGGCTCCTCCCAGACAACTGTCCCCAGTTAATACACTGAGCATGATACCAATGGTATGGAATATCCTTCTGGGTAGTTTGGGTCATCTGTTCTGGCTGTGCTTCTTCACAGCTTCTTGTGTGCTTCTTCACTGGCAGAGCATGGGAAACTGAAAAGTCCTTGACTTAAAGCACTGCTGAGCAACAATTAAAACAGTGTGTTATCAACATTATTCTCATACTGAATCCAAATTCAGCACTGTATCAGCTACTAGAAAAAAAATTAATCCTACCCCAGCCAAAACTAGAACATCATAGCAGTAGTTTCTTGGAAGACATTACTCCTTCCAGTTCCTGAGTTAGACATTATTCCTTTGAGTCCCTGAGTTCTTCATAACTAAGGTAGGTCCTTCAAATAACCATGGCACTTGTGATGTGAGATGGAGACAATGTGATTGAATCCTTTGCTGAACTCTGCAATTAGCAAAATCTCCAGTCACTTTGCTGTAGATGGCATTTACTTGAGAAAGGTCATCTTTTTACTGTCCTTTTATTATCAGTTTTGACCTTACTCGTCATGATTTCCAAAGAGAAGTCGTGTGTTCTAGATGATCAGAGAATTGCATATTTAATAATCATTTGTAATGCTCTATTGCTTCTAGCTTATCTCTGTTTAGATAAGTTGTAATCACAAACTGATAACTGACATTCCTTGGATGAAATGACCAAAAATAACCTGGCTCACCAGAGAGTTTGGTAAACCCACTTGCAAATGCAAGTTATTTCATGCTTCCCAGGAGCATCTCCATACAGATGTAATTCTAAAATACAGAAATGCAAAGAAAAAAAAAAGGTGTTAGGAATGGTGTCAATGTCTGTTAGAGCTCATTCATCAGAAAAACAAGAGTCCTAGCCATATTCTTGCTGTGTGTATCTTAGCTGCTGATATACTGAAACCTTCTGCAATCTCTTCAGCCAGCCAGCCCAGTTCTTATTCCACACTTCAGATGTCTTCAGCTTCCCTGTTCTTTGACACTGGTCCTCCAAATTTCAGGTTCTCTTCCATTTGCATCTGTTATAATTATCACTGTCTTGTATTTTGGTTTCCATGTGTTTTGTCTTGTCAATCATCGTCTCTCATCTCTTGTCTCTCATCAATCTGTTATTTTTCTGGATTCCTACATCCCTTGGCATTCTGTGTAAATTCTGCTTGTTCAGGGGTAATGAGGTCATAATCACCTGAGAACCTGAAGCTGTTTTACCATCATGCTGGGGGCATGGCATGTCCCTTTCAAATCTGTTTGGAACTCCTCATTGCTTCCAGTGTTGGCTTGAACGCTTCTGAAAAGAGCATGCATCCTTGCTGAGCCCTTTGTCAGCCAGAGCCATGCTGCAAATTTAATGTGTATTTCATGGCATTCATTAATTTCTCTGGATGTTTTCTTATGGATTATTGGGGTCTTTCCAGTGTCTGGCATTCTTCAAAACTGTCATTTCACTGTCTGCCAAGAATGTAAGATCAAGACAACCAGAGAGCTGCAAAAGCAGGACTAACTCTTGGGGTTAGTGATGAGCAACATAAAGCTTTGGTGACTGTTTATCATGAAAAGTGTAAAAAGTGTTGGGTGTAATACAACATTGGAAACCCACATGTATTAGCCTAATCTGAGTCCTAGTTCTATTTTGTATACATATAACTATAGTATCTACAATAGATTTCAGTGGTACTTGTGAGATAGCTCATCAAGAGCAGAATTTGCTGTCTTAGCAGTTTCTGAAGTGGGAAGGACCAGGTTGTGAAAGGACTTCAGATGTAATAACAAAACACAACAAAGCAAATCCGTGCCTCCCTGGGTGACTCTGTGGGTGTCCACATCTGATTTGTAAGAAAAAGCCATTTGGGAAGAGGAAGGAAGAAGAGAAATACCACCTTTATAAGGACTGTTGGAGGATTTGGAAATGTTCCAGGGGAAAATACTTTGCCTTTTAAATTTACATTTCTTTGCCTGCTCAGGATGAGTGAAAGCAACAATGTCACCCTGTGGTATTTCCCTTTGTGGTTGCTTCAAACCATCTTTCTTACAGAGTTATAAATTATGTTCGAACTGAAGGTTTGGTGACAATGATGAGCTTTTAGGAAAGGAGTAGGACTGGACTACTGTGTTAAACCAGAGTCAGTATGACTTATTTTCTATCAATGGAGAAATGCTTCTTTTAAAGGCTTGAGTTTATAAGATAGGTTTGAGATTAATATAGCTTCCCTAAAGTGAAAATGGGGAATAAGATTAATGTTTCAGCTTGTCAAAGCAGAAAGCTAGCAGAGTTCCAGCACACCAGCACTCAGTCCCCAGTGGGTACCTCTTTATGTTCCTTTAACTCTGAGAACATTCTTTTGCTTCATGAGCTGCTGGAATTTATGTTCTTTCACAGCTCAAAACTACAGGAAAGATTTTGTAAAAAGCTGTAGGACATCAAGCAATATTCTTGACCAAACTCACCTGCTCTTCTGCTTTCAGCTGATGTTTTTCCAAGACATAACAATTAAAAATTCTGAGCTCTATGTGTCTTTTGCACATAGGTTTATTGTCACATGGTTATTTTAAGTCATTATCAGAGACATTATTCAGTGCTGTAAGAAAGATGTAAAAACTACCTACAAACAATTTCAACACAAACATTTCCAGAGAATATTTGCACCACCAAAGTGGCATGTACAAAATTACCATATAAAATGATAAATGCTTTTCACCTTACTGAGTGCCTTGGAAAATTAGATATAAAGACTTAATTATTTTCCAGAGTAATTCAGAGGTGTTTGTGGGTCATAATGAGATTAGCTGAAATGATAGAGAAAATTATCTTAGAAAGTTGTTAGAGGTCTTAAAATATACTTATTTCTTCTAAAGGATTGCTTAGAAATTAGTGACTTATAGTTAGAAAAAAAGCACAAACCCTGATAATTTAGGGTTATAGCTATACCAAAACAGGAAATCCAGTTTATTTATAGGATACAAAAGTTTATTTGTAGGATATTAGCACACAAACTAATTGAAGGCTACAGAAAACACTAGTTGCTAAGCATTGCAAATGTAATTGACATAATTAGGAATTCCAAACTCTAATTATTATATCTGAGGCAATATCAGCTATTCAGCATGTTAGTAAAAATTGTGAATAAATATTTATATAATTGTGCATGCAAATACAAAAAAACCTGTGGGCAGTTAGCACTTTGTTTATTCTCTGTGTTCAGTATTTATGTACATTTGTAGCTACTTAATAAGGCAAGACAGGGCACCCTCCTGCAGTGCCAGGTAACATCTGGTCTCTGCCTTCACTTTCTGCATAATTTAAATGTGAAACCTTCCTTTCAGGGATTCTGGGTAGGTGGGAGGTACTGGAAATTGATCTGAATTTAAAGACATTTTTATTAGGAGTGTTTTTTTTTAAATGCGTGATACAGATGGGTGTATAAAGAAAATTGATATATAGGAAAACACAGTGCATGCAGGTGAGCAAATATCTCTCTACACAGCCAGAGATAATGGGGACAGTGCTGGGTTTAAATTCCTTCAGCTTTCAATTTTGAGCTGTATCCCATACCTTTTTTGTGATTTGCTTCGACACAGAATTTCACAAGCACCAAGTTATCTGCAAGTCCAAGTTACTCCAAAGTTTCAGCTTCTATTTTGCAGTTTTTCATCCGTATGGGAAGGGAGTAGCACCCCTGTGCCTTGTGGAGTACTGTAGGAGTTTGGGAGCAAGTTGGATACTGTAATCAATGAGCTGTGAAATTACCAAGGACAGCCTGTGTATGAACAGCCCCGGGCAAGGGGAGAAGGGACAGACACTTACGACTGCTGAGTGCCTTCTTTTTCTTACCAGCTTCCTGAATAAATATCAAACAGTGACCAAAACAGGAGGTGGGATAAGAGTAATGTGCTGGGTTTGACTGGGGTAGAGTTCATTTCCTTCTCTCAAGTATGGGCTGGGAATGGCTCCCGTGGCATTCCACCTGCTGGGAACCCCCAGGAGTGCAGCGACAATGACTGCACCTGCACTCCCCTGATGCAATGCCTGCTGCTAAGCTGAAGGTCCTGATTTGTCTTTTCTCTTTGTAGGTATTTTCATGGTGCTCTCTCTCCTGTCGATCGTTTACGGCGCCCTACGCTGCAACATCCTGGCCATTAAGATAAAGTACGACGATTACAATGTCCGTGTGAAACCTGCTGCCTACCTCTGCATATTCATGTGGAGGAGCTTTGAGATCGCCACACGAGTCACGGTGCTGGTGCTTTTCGGTTCAGTCCTTCAAATCTGGGTTTTCCTCGTCGTGCTACTGAATTTCTTAGGTTTCTTCCTCTACCCCTGGATTCTCTTCTGGCTTAGCAAGTCGCCGTTTCCTGAGAACATAGAGAAGGAATTGAGCAGGTTGGGCACTACCATCGTCCTGTGCCTTCTCACGTTCCTGTATGCTGGCATTAACATGTTCTGCTGGTCGGCAGCGCAGGTGGAGCTCAGCGACCCCGACCTGATCAGCAAATCCCAGAACTGGTACCGCATGACCGTGTACTACATCGTGCGGCTGATGGAGAACGCCTTCCTCCTGCTCATGTGGTACGTTTACAGAACAGACTTCTACCTCTATGTCTGTGCCCCAATGTTGTTCCTGCAGCTCCTGATAGGTTACTGCATGGGCATCTTCTTCATGTTGGTGTTCTACCAGTTCTGCCACCCGTGCAAAAAACTTTTCTCCTCCAGCATTACTGAAGCTTTGCTGTCCTGTTTCAAGATTCTCTACTTTATTTGCCAGCATCACAAATCCACTCTACTGACAGGCAAGGTGATGATGAAATCTCCTGAAAATACTGATGAAGCACGGGGCAGTAGCAAGACAATAGATTCCCAAAACAGGAATATTCATCAAAGTGTTTCTTCCAATGCCTAGTACAACTGGAAGCAAGTAGGTGCCTTTGGAAGGTGGCAGATCACCTGCTGGGAGCATTGTGCATCTTAGACATTGTGTCTTGTGGGTAGGATTTCTTTCTTGCAGATGTAGCACTGCATGATGGCTGACATGCCTGTTTTTGTGGAGAGCAGTGTATGAGTATTTGTGTTTGTGTACGGAGAGCAATCGTTGTTTGTAGATTTCTATTTCAGAGCCTTTTTGCACATAGGTTTATTGTCACATGCTTATTTTAAGTCACTATTGGAGACATCATTCAGAAACTGTCCTGATGCTCACCTGACTCAGGAAGTCTGAGGATGGAAGGCAATGACTTTTATTTCAGATAGGATGTCCTATGGCATGCCACCCTAGCATGGAAACAGAGCTTAGACCTGGACTATGTATGGACTGTAGCTGTGGTCTGCTTTGATCAAATTGCAGACTATTTTACACTCTAATCAGTGTAATTAGATAATACTTCTCTCAGTGGTAGAAGAATTGGACTTGCACAATGCACTGTAGTCTGGGTTGCCATGAAACAGCCAATTAGCCAGCACTGACACAGAAATGTGACTGTTACTGAGGATGGACAGAGGGGCTTTGCACTGTTTCACCCTTCATGTTTACTGCTTGTTAGTAAGGGAAGTAAATTTAACACATTAATTGTGATGTTCTGGAATAGCTCATTTTTCTTTCATTATTATTTCTTTAATACTTTGTGATGTTCTGGTGTCAGGGTGGTGTTCACTTTGTATAAATATCTAGAGGCTGGGCAGACAGTGTGTACCAGTCATGTAGGTGCTCTCCAGTGCACATATCCAGGGAGTGACTCGCCCCATCTCAAAATGTAGGTGATAGGAATCACTCTCTGGAGACCTTTTACTCAGTGTTAACCAGATGCCTTCACAATTAGTTCTGACTGTCCATCTGACTTTTAGATGGCTGAAGTTAGAGAGCTGAGCACTACCCTGATCATCAGGGGTTTGGTAGTGCACCAAGTAGGCAGCTCATTGACTTTTTGTACTTGGATAGAAGACACTGGTTCCTTCTTTTTGAGCTGTGATTTGTTATGATTAGTTTAATATCATTAATTCAAAACCCTGTGACTTCTTTACCTCAGAAGTATCACAACCCTGATACTGAAGTCTGAAAGAGAAAATGGAAGTCATTAACTTTTTGTTCTCAGCAATACATCACCACAAATAAAAGTGTTTATGTATTTTGCAAGTTTCTGAGAAAGCTTTAGCAGATGAACACACAAGAATTTAGTGAAAATACACAGACCCATATGTATTTTCACAAATTAAGTGAAAGCATTTTGCACTTTGTTTGCTTAGCACCTTCCTAACATTTCTTTTGAGTGTTACACACTATGGCTGCTCATGGAAACAAATAATTGATGACCAAAGCATCTCCCAGTGCTTCAAGCTTAGCCTCCATTTTGTCCTCATGCAGGATGTGAAGTTCTTAATAGGGATGACATCAGCATAATTGTTTTAGAAGTGTCTCAAACTCAGGTCTGGGGTCATTTTTAATGAAATATGTCACCTGCAGTGCTGCAAAGACATAACCTGCTTTTATTTTTTTCCTTTCTACAGTGTAAATGAATGTCTTCATATTTCAGTTTTATTATGGAGTTATGTTTTCATTTTGCTAAATATGTGTCTGTGTATGGTATGTGTATGTAGATGTCATTAAATTATTGGTGGGTGGTAATGGGATTGTTGGCCTGATTTTGCCATGGGAATGTGCCTCATATCTGGGGAAGACACCAAACACCTCCATTCTAATTTCTCTGAGGAGAGGAGAATAGAATAGTGAAGTGACTCCTTGAAGACACGACAGTGTTTCTCTGTACCTTTGTATGTGAAAGTACAGTAGAGGATTTCTCTGTGCTTTTCTAGATGAAAAAGATTATGCTTTTTCTTTTTCAGTAGAGAGTTAAAGGAGCAAGGTTTCTTCCAAATCTGTGGAGTTCAGCCCACAGGCTCAAATTTTCTGGTGTTCTTATCCAAAACTGAGTATCTGTCTTTATGGCTGGACACTCATCAATATCAATAATCAGGGAATTACAGTGGCTGCCTATTTACGGATGTACCCAGGTCAGAACCATTAGTCTTTGGGGGAAAATTTTAAAAGTAGCTTCATATGTAGAAGTAGTTCATATCTAAAGAGAGAGCTTAAAGCAGAGTTTGGACACTGTAAGTGGTGGTGCAGTTGTGATTGTGCCATTTGGAAACAGTGAAAGCTTCACAAACCTCAGCCAGGTTGGTGCTACAGTGAAGGCAAATGTAGGAGAGTTACAGAGCCAGGAGCCCAAGATGGATACACAGTGAGTACCATTAAACCTCACAGAAGACTATATGCATATTTAGAGTGTGTGTCATATTACTACTTATTTTTATACCAGTCTCCTGAAGTGCATGCATAGGGAGATGAATATTGAAATCACTGTTATGAGAGGAAAAAAAATAGTTTATATGGGTTCTGTTACTGTCCTATGGTTTTGCCTTAGTTGTGCAGAATAACCAAATACAGTTCAAGCACTCCTCCAACACGAGGGGCTGTTGCCTGTGCAGTGCCTGGTGTCACCATGGCCCAGGGTGGTTTATCCAGCTGTGCTGCCACTGCTGGTGGAAAGGTGCAGGAGGGAGACACAACGATGCTCTGTTAGATCAGGGCTTGCAGGGAGCAGCTGCTTTTTCTGAAGTGTGCTGTAAAGCTGGGAGAGGCAGTTTTTCTCCAGATAATGACAGTCTGGAGGGTGTTGTCAGTACATCCAGTGGCTGCATGGAGAAGCCAGGAGACATGAGAATATGAGTACAAAGTCTGTCTGTGTATGAATGAGTGATCTCTTGCTGCAAGTTCACTGTGCTTTTACTCTCCTCTATGAATGTTAGAGGGGCCTGTGTGTTCCATGGAAGGGTTTAGGGCTACTGCGGAAAACTCTACTCTTTTGAGTAGTCCTGAGTCGCACAAAGGTTGGCTCAGCAAGGGTTATTTGTGTGTATAAGAGTATGCAAGATCTGACACATGGGTTTTCTTTTATACTTGTAAAACAGCACCAATTAAAATGTTGAAATTATCCCTCAAGTTGTGTTGGTGTCAGTTCTTAGTGTGCTGCTTTCAGGAAATCCAAAGTAAAAGTAACAGAGCACACTGTCATCTGTCACCTCGCAGCCGCAGAAATGTTTTCAAGAAGACCTGACAGAAGAATTAATCTGTGATTGATTTAGGAGCTCTTTACCCCCATGCTTCCATTGCTGTTTAGAAGAACATTTTGTAAGATGGGGGCAGTTTAAGAGGCCAGTGTTGTATGGTAAGATTAGTATAGCTTACTCATTGTCAGTGTGAAAATATTTACTGGTTTACTTTGAGAATTAGGAAGAAATTGTTACCTTATAAAAAATATTTTAACTTCTTCTCTGCACACTTGTTTTACATTCATCTGGATTTACCATAAACTTATATCTGACCCTGGGAGTACCTAGCAAAATCATTACTGAGGACTTTTGTGAAGGGATAGGATTGCACAAAAACTTTGCAACACATGTGTTTCTAAATTTAAATAGATAAAATAGACATATATTTTGTAAATATGGGTGTAATTAGATACATTGTGACAAGCTGTAATGTGTGTACATCACTTACATGAGCATTGAGAAAAGATTTTAGAAGTTCTCGTGGTGATTGACCTTACTGTGTCCTGGTAAGAGCTGCACTCCCTGTGACAGAATTGGTGGATACTTGGGACTGTTAAACTGTAATTTTAATTTAAAAATATATAATTTTCATTTAAAAGTAGTTCCCTTACCTTTTCCCCATAGTAGCTGATAATATCTAGCCTAAAACAATGAACCATTTTCTATCACTTTTTACCTATTTGAAGGTCTTATGTAGCAAAGAAAACAGGGCATTGAACTCAGATGTTTGCAAGACATCATCAAAATCTTGTATTTTAAAATGAAGTTGTGGTGAGTGCCTCAATACAGTTGGGAATCATCATAGAAACATGAAGGTACAGTAATATGGCAGAGATGGTAAGTTTGATTTACCAGAGACAGAAGACTTGAAAAGTAAGATGTATTAAAGATTATGTAAAATTCCTACTGACCAAGAAAAAAATGTATCATAAAACTGTTAGGTCTTGAGGTCACCCCAAAATTAGACTAAGAATGAAAGGTAAGTGTTTCAAAATGACAAATATGAAAGCTTACAGAATTTCTGCTCTGAATGAACAACTTCATATCCTGGAAAAAAAGGACAGTTTAATCCTTTTCTTTGTTTTTTTTTTTTTTTTTTTTAATTAGATGCAGTCCCAAGGAAAACCTCTTGCCACTAAAATAAAGTTTTATGGAAGTGGTGAATGTCTGTATTCAGGTATGAAAATTTTGCCTTTCAGGTGAGAAATTCAGATGTGAATGCATCCATGTGTAAAGGCTTCTAATCACAGACTAGCATTAATGGGAAAACACACCTAAGCAGAGGATGGATGCTAATTTATTGGATGTTGCTTACTGAGATTCTTCTGGAATAACATCACAGTTGTAACTTTTTGGCCCTGAAGGTGAGACCTGATTGATTTAATGAACCAGGAACAGCCTGTCTTAAATAGGGTATGTGCCTTCATGTTCATAATTGCTGCAATTCCTATTTTGACAGAGCACACAAAATGACAGCAGATAAATGTTACATATTTTAACTTCTGAAATGTCTCTCATCAGCTGCTTGTTTCATCTGATTAATGTGCCCTGTCAGTGCAGAGCTTTAATCAGCCACAGACACTTTCTGGAAAATGATCAGGAGCAGATTTAGATGGAGAGCGATGCCAGAGGTACTCAAGGTGAGGTTAATTCACATCTGCCTTCTAGAGTGGGGACTAAATGTCCAAACCAATAGGCCAGCACCTTAGAGATGAGGTGCCAGCTTTGCATTTTGGTGTGTTTATGCACGGATTTGCAGTAATTGTACATGGAGTAAGTTGTGTGCTGGACTCGACA